TGCTCTGTGGAATTTAGGATGGGGGAGGGGGCAGGAGCCAAGAAGCTTGATGCACCACTCAGCTGGGCTGCGAGATGTGGAGGGGGTTGAGAGCTGATGTGCAGGTCATCTGGCCTGCCTGGGAGAGCTGGGAAGGCCAGTGGGGCAACAGGGCAGGAGGTGGGGCTGTCTGCAGGTGAGGCCAGAAATGACCTCCCTTGGTTCAGCAAAATCCCTCATCCAGGACTAGTCAGGTCCCCAGGGTGGTGGATCAGGGAGGTCCAACCTGTAGTGCATATGGGGCTAGGGTGCAGGTGGGCATTTGAACATGTGGTTTTGAAAATTTGGCCTCCTTGAAGCCAATATATAACAGGTGGCATAAGTAAGGTGGAAAACTGTACTGGCAACTTATATCTTTAGATATTAAAGGTCTGATTTCCCACTGTGGTGTTCCATATTTATGCCAGCACAAAAATCCTTTGCTTTCAACATGACACTCCATTGTAAAGCTTGTTCATTCAATAGCGAACCAGAAGCTAACACTTGAAGTTTAGCGATTCTCTTGAAAATGCATTAACTGTATTTACGTTAGAATGTGATCTAATGTATTTATAGTGCTAATGGGTTATTTTTTAGGCTACAAGTATGTGTTTTTACATTTGCTGTCAGTTATTTCTTTGCAGTAGCATTTCATTTAGTTTTGAAAGGTTATCATCTTCTTTCACCAGATCTGTATTGAGGGGAATATTGCAAGTGGAAAAACAACATGCCTGGATTATTTTGCCAAAACTACCAGTATTGAGGTACGGATCTTGAAACTTCTTAAGATTTAATCAAGTCAACAGGAGTTTTTCCATTTCAAGTCTACTGAGGTGTTTTCCAAGATTAAATGAAAGTAAGATAAATTTAAAGGCACACTGCCAAACAATGTATAGTTTTCCTTCTTCATGTTGCCCTTCTTTTTCATTTGGCAACCAATCATTTGTCTTGGTTTTTAGTTAATGGAATGGAAACCAGTATGTTATGTTGTAATTTTTACTACATTTGTGCTTGTGTTAATTGTTGCCTCAGTCCTTCAGTCCATCATACGCATAGCTTTGTTCAAGTAAATAATCTATTGACTGCATTTTGGTCTGAACAGAGCAGGAATAGGCAACCATGAATAGTGGGTGGGGCCCGCAATCCTCCTGTCTGTTGCCCTCCCCCACACACCTCTTGTGCACTTGAGTACCAGAGCCCTGCACTCGTAACCTGGTCCTCCCGCTCCCTCCCAGCATTTTTGGGATATGCAAATCGCCTGATTCACGCTGTGTCCCTGCTTGGGATGTAAGTGACTAGTTGACTATCGGATAAACTTAAGATTATTGGATAGTCAACTAGTCCCTCTACTAGTCGCTTCTCCCCTCCCTCTCCCTGCTGCCTCTATCAGAGACAGCAAGGGGGCAGAGTAGGAGCTCATGTTGGGGGAGCCACCTTAAAAGCCCGGTCCCCCCAGCACTGTCTCAGTGGGGGACAGTGGAGGTAGAGGGGTAGTGGGAACCTGGTGTGAGTCAGGAATCAGCTGATTCCCGGCTCATGCCCCGTCTCAAACCCTGCACCTCTTCTTTTTAAATGTATTAAGAGCCTTTTAAATACATTTAAAAAGCAGGAACATGGGGGAAGGAATCAGCTGTCCTGGCTCATGCCGGGTCCTCAGCTCTGTGCACCAGCCTTTTAAATGTATTAAGAGCTGGCAGGCTCTTAATACATTTAAAAGAGGGCTGGTGTGCAGTGAGGGAAACCTTGTGCGAGCTGGGACAGCTGATTCCCAGATTGTGCCAGGTCCCCCTGCTGCTTTTCTGCTAAGAGCTGGTAGGCTTTTAATACATTTAAAAGTCTGGTGTGCAGTGGGGGGAGGAGACCCAGCACTGGCGCCAGCCAGGAATCATTTGTCTTGGTTGCTCCTGGGGCTGGGATTTAACCCTCTCCCAGGGGGAGGAGACCCAGCACTGGCGCCAGCCAGGAATCATTTGTCTTGGTTGCTCCTGGGGCTGGGATTTAACCCTGCTGCGGCTCTCCCGCTTTTCGACTAATCAACTAGTTGATAGTAATTCCATCGACTAGTCGATTAAACTAAATTTAACATCCCTAGTCCCTGCTCCTCCTCAACCCTGGAACCACTACCAACAGCTGATTCCTGGCATTCCAGCTCTAGGAGGGAGGGGAAGGAGCAGAGACAGAGTATGAATCAGGCAATTTGCAGCTCCTCTGAAAGTGCTGGAAGGGATGGAGAGGCATAGGGCATGCAGGGCTTCAGTGCCCCAGTGCCTGAGAGGTGCATGGTGAAGAGGAGCAACCGGGGGCCTGTGGGCTGAACGTGGAGCCCCAATGGGCTACACGTGGAGCCCCAATAGGCTGCACATGACCCATGGACTGCAGGTGTTTCCATAATCAAGGTCTCAGTTAGTTTCTTGGAATATTAACTGCTGCTAAAGAGTCAGTGGTAAAAACACTGAATATTTTAGAAAAGTTTTAGTTGTTGAATGGCAGATATAAGATATTCAGCAATGGAACATAGTGACTCAAATTTTCTCTCTCAGTAAACCAGTAACAACGAGTAGAACTACCATTTTTTTCCTGTATTTTTAAAAATCTTGAGTGTATCTCATAATAAACAAAGTCAGAGACAATTCAGGTAATGAAGCTGAAAAATACTAATCCCATAAAGATTAGGTAAAGATATGCTGGTTTGTTGAGAAAATACATTTGTATAATTCCTTTTTGGAAGTTATTAAACAAACCTGGGATTTAATCATAGTTACATAGGCAAAGTGCTTTTTGATGAGGAAAAGACTATTTTATTATTAATAATTGCTTTAACCGGACAAATTCAGAATAAACGGCAAGAAGTATTTATTTATGAGAACATAAAATCTTAATAGTGTTGACAGGTCTTCTAAGAATAACATTAATACAAAAATCTAGGATTCTTCATAGGGATACTCAGTGTTAAGAGTTCCATGGTAATTTAAAAGGAATAAATTGAGTTGAATAAAAAACCATGAGCCCAAAATGTCTTTTTAAAAACTATATAGTGCAAAAACTTAAATAGTAACTCATGTAGTTTAGCTAGCTAATCTCAGACTCATACTAAGATTTTAAAGTCTTTTATGCTCTAATCAAGCAGTGTTGGTGGATCCTTTCCCACCCGCATGGAGCTCCCTCGAGACACTTGTGGTTTCAGCTACTCCAAGGAGAAAATGCCTTATTTTTATGCCTAACTTGTATCATATTAAAGTTCTAGCTGCATTGTTTTTAATCCACAGAAATAAAATGAGATTTATGTATAATGACATATTGAGCTTCAGCTTTTATTCCTTTGTTATTCAGTTTTGTCCTTTGGGAAGTCAGTTTGTGAGAGATCTTTCTTATGAAATTCCATCTACGTTTGGTTGTCAGTTCTTCTCTTTTTATAGTATTGCTGATAAATGAATGTGAGGGATAAATGATAGTCTTCTCCCTGGCATCAGTCAGCCATTATTTTGTTTTGGTGGGCTGATAAAAGTAGTTCCCGGTGCCTCTGGTCTGCTGGGGACCATCTCCAGCAGACCAGGGACACCGGGAGCAAAGGAGGCGGAGGGGCGCTGGCGTATAAGATGAAACCCTATCTTTTAATTAAAAAGATAGGGGGTCGTCTTATACGCCCAGTCGCCCTATACGCCGGAAAATACGGTATATAGTGCAAAAACTTAAATAGTAACTCATGTAGTTTAGCTAGCTAATCTCAGACTCATACTAAGATTTTAAAGTCTTTTATGCTCTAATCAAGCAGTGTTGGTGGATCCTTTCCCATGCCCGCATGGAGCTCCCTCAAGACATATCAAGCAGTGTTGGTGGATCCTTTCCCACCCGCATGGAGCTCCCTCGAGACACTTGTGGTTTCAGCTACTCCAAGGAGAAAATGCCTTATTTTTATGCCTAACTTGTATCATATTAAAGTTCTAGCTGCATTGTTTTTAATCCACAGAAATAAAATGAGATTTATGTATAATGACATATTGAGCTTCAGCTTTTATTCCTTTGTTATTCAGTTTTGTCCTTTGGGAAGTCAGTTTGTGAGAGATCTTTCTTATGAAATTCCATCTACGTTTGGTTGTCAGTTCTTCTCTTTTTATAGTATTGCTGATAAATGAATGTGAGGGATAAATGATAGTCTTCTCCCTGGCATCAGTCAGCCATTATTTTGTTTTGGTGGGCTGATAAAAGTAGTTTAAAATGTTTTTTTTTTTAAATACTACCTACTAGACCATTTTGTAATTAAATGCATCTTTTTCATTTTTATGATAGTTCTTAAATATTAAATTCAATATTAAATTATATATTTCATTACTTAGCCCTTTTTTTTAAAAAAAGGGATAGATCCTCCAGGCCATGGTAGCAGTACAGATTCTTTATTCATTTATTCAAATAAATAAAATAAAATAATTGAAATCGCTCGGGTCACATAGAATGAATGTCCTTTTTTCACTAAGGTTTTGACGGAACCTGTGCTTAAGTGGAGGAATGTACATGGTCACAATCTTCTGGTAAGTGATGGGAATTAATCCAATGATTTATGTTCTGTTTAAAATATGGATTAGGGATGTGAATGTTTAAATGATTAACCAGAGGGGGCTGAAGCAGCTCTGGGGGCTGCTCCAGCCCTATGGTGAGGCCTGCCGTGGACAAAGGTTGTTCCAGTCATCCAGAGCAGCCTATGTCTGTGGCATACCCCCATAGGCCGGTGCTGCTCCTGTGTCTGGAACAGCCTCTGTCTGCAGTGGGCCTGGGTGCCCAGCCTGCAGCTGGGAGAACTGCTCCAGCCCAGCTGAAGCTCCCCTCCCACCATCTCCCTCCCTTTAATTAGTTAACTGGTTAAACAAAACGTATCCTGACATTCTCAAAGTTGCGTCTGAGGATTTAGATGCAGTAAAGTTCCTAGCCAAGATGTGGTCACAATATTATGTAACTGAAAATTCATATCATGATGGTGATTACGTTTTTTTTCTTATTGAAGGACGGATATTAAAACGTAGCTCTGATAAGGACTTGGGCTCTGATCTTGCAAGTAACCCTATGCTGCTGGAGACTGCGCTCACAATTAGTCATATTTTGAAATCAGTGGACTCTGTGCAGGCATGAAGGTCTGCCTGCATGTAGCTGGTTTTAGGATTGGAGTCCTAATGCTATTTTAGAGACACAATGGGTCTGTTACTGCCTGGCAGTGAAGTTCTCTAGTTCAGAAACAAATTGAGGCTAGGAAAGCTCTTTAAAATGCTCAAAGCATCCCGGAAAGTGCTTTTTAATACTAAACAACACAAGTAGAGTGCATAGTGAGCTGAAAGGAGTTGGATATGGCAGAGTGCTGTATGATTGCTGAGAGATCATCTTGCAAGGTGTTGAGTGTCTTCATTGACTGGTGAGAGTGAAGAGTCCTCCTCATCTCCTGGAATCAGACACTTCCAACACAGTGATGCAGCACAGTCAGACTCCACTCTGACTGTGAAGAGGCTTGATTTCCCAGACCTCAGAAATCAGTCAATGAATAAATTTAACTTCTAGCCTAAAATGCACATGCAACCTGTTCAAAGTACCTGCACTTTTGTAACCACAATATGCACTTTGGTGCGAGGAAAGTGCGTTCCCTGGGTGGAGGATACTGATGCTCTTTCTGTTTTGCCATTGCGATGCTTCATGCCTTGCTGTGTTACCAACATCTTCACTAGTACACCTCCTGGCTCATTGCTCTAGCTCATTCTTAACTTTTTTTGGGAAAAAGGGTCAGAAGGGTCTGAGGTGTAGGAGTGTGGGCAAGTCTGTGTCCACAGGCAATTCATGTTAAACCTTGTGGTTTGCTATTAAGCTATTTTGTAAACCAACACTTGACCCTAAAATCTCCCTTTTCATTGTAAAGTGTCATGCTTTGGGTTTACTTTATGGTAGACATTGATATGTGGAGCTCTAAGAGGGGGAAATACCCATAATGTGCTGTGTAAAGGATATCTCTTCTCATAATCACAGTAGATGCTATATGACTATATTCTGCTACTCCTCTGTAGTCTCACTCACTGTCCTGGGAGCTCCAACCTTGCTCTCAGAAGCACAGAAGCAGATTCTTTCCTTAAACATTTGTGTAACTTGCATTTGCATCACAGATGAGACTTTAGGCTTTGAACACTCTTGAGCTAAATGCACTGCACATAGGTTCTCATTCAAAGAGGTGCCCAATTGCCTGTAACTCCGATTGAGTTCTGAGTGCTCAGCGTCTCTCATGATTAGGCTCCTAATTCCAACATATGCTCTTCTAAATATGGATGAGCCATTTCATTCTTACTCCTGGGGGAATTCTGTGCCATTGCTCAATGTGGGATTTTGCAGAAATTAATGCTGTGCATGCAGAATTCCCTTTCCTGCACAGAAATGGGCAACAGGGCTACTGGCTGCCACCAAGGGCCACTGGATCTGGTAGAACCCAGCTTGCACATAGAAGACACTGCTGCGGGGAGGGGAGAGAGCTAGAGGGTTCCTGTCAGCTGCAATTCCCACCATGCCCTGAGGAAAGGAGACAGGCAGTGCACAGGAAACTCCTCCCAAACATGAGACTGAGCATGAGCTGTTTTTTTTCCCTCTGAGTCCCTGAGCCCTCTAGGGGGAAGAGAGCAGGTGTCTGGGTTGGGGAAGCATACCTGGGCTCTGAAGGAGACGTTGGTTGCATGTATTGGCCCAGAGGGAGCCTATGGCTGAACTTTCAGAGGAAAGTATCTGTCCAAGCTGGAGTCTTGTAGGGAGGGACATGGGCAGAGAAACAGGAACTGGATTATTATACTCCAACTCCTCTAATGTAGTGAGTTTTACCCATGAAAGCTCATGATATAATGTATTTGTTAGTCTCTAGAGATGCTACGGGACTGCTTGTTGGATTATCATGGGGTTTCTTTTACTTGCTACTCCTGGAGGATTTTTGTATGTGTCTGTGATGTTACAGACATACTTGCTGACAGGTGTTTTGAAATGAATTTCCAAAATAACTGAATCTGGTGTGATTGTGTAGTGTCCTTTTGACAGATGAATTCTGCAGAATTTTAAAATATTATGTGCAGATTTTTAAATTTTTAGTGCAGAATGCCCCCAGCAGTAATAATGCTGGTGTGTGCTACTTATGCCTGGTCAGGTATTAATACCTTAATATCTGAGCAAGTATTAAATGTGTAGCTTAACTTTATAGCTTATCTGTATTTGTCACTGATTGGTATAGTCAAAAGGGTTTTATTTTTCTCTAACTCTTCTGTCCCTATCCCCAACACTAGGGCTTAATGTATCAAGATCCATCACGGTGGGGGATAACGTTGCAGACATACATTCAGCTTACTATGTTGGATCAGCATACCAGACCAATGGTAATTTAAAACTTTTTTTCTTTTAATGTTAAGCAGAGATATCAATGTGCATTTATAGAATCATAGTATACTAGAACTGAAAGGGACCTCGAGAGATCATCAAGTCCAGTCCCCTGCCATCACAGCAGGACCAAGCACCCTCTATCATGCCTGTTAGATGGCTATCCAAACTGCTCTTAAATATCTCCAGTGATGGAGATTATGGATCAAAATGATCTGATAATCCTGCATCCAGAAGATAAGACTGTAGGTTGACTTTCTTTTAGTGTTTGTGATGCTAGTAGGAATTTCCATGTGAAAAGACAACACTGATATACTCAGCTCAGTGGGGCCTGGGACATCTACCTCTTACATTTACATGTTTTTCATTCTCCATGCCCAGTATTGCTTACTGTTAAATGCTGGCCAGTACTTGGATCATCTCAGTTTATCTGTTATCTTGGCCTTGTTTGTTTTGTTTTGTTTGTTTGGGTGTGTGTGAGATGTGGGAACTTAAGATTCTGGGTTCACATACGATAATCTTAAATGTAAACATTGAAAATCACACATTGGCCAGTATTAGTCAGAATACACCCTTCTGTCCCATGTAACTCTAGATACAAATGCAGCTTCCTGCTTCTCACTTCCTTCCCCTCTACCCCATTCAAAATGCTTCTGTTAAGCTTTACCTACCTCTTCCTTTTGGATTGCCAGCACTTCTTTTGTCATCGTCTGTTTTCCTTCTGCTCCTTTCTCATGGTTCTTCCTACTCCTTTCCTATGTGAACTCTTTTGGCTGGATCCTCTTTTTCCTTTCTCATTCTCTTTTGAAACTTCTTTGTTGATGCCTGCCAGTCTTGATTTATTGTTTTCCTGCACAGTAAATAACTGTTGCAGTTACAAACAGTACAGGTATAAGAGTAGCGTATTGTCTGAATTTGCTTTGGTTCAGAGGTCTTCGTAAAATCCCATGTAAAATGCTTAATAGTAATTTGCAAGGCTGTCAAGTGTTTACAAAAAATAATTGCAATCATGCAATTAAAAATCAATCACTATTAATCACATTGCTAAACAATAGAATATAATGTTAAATATTTTTGGATGTTTTCTACTTTTTCCAATATATTGATTTCAATTACAAATCAACACAAAGAATAAAGTACTTGCATCATATTTATTTTGATTACAAATATTTGTGCTGTAAAAATAGTATTTATTTATTTATCTTATATAAGTACCAATGCACTCTCTTATGGAAAATGAATTTACAAAATAAGGATTATGTACAGAAAGTAACTATTCAAAAATAAAACAATGTAAAACTTTACAGCCTACAAGTCCACTCAGTCTCCTGCTTCTTGTTCAGCAAATCACTAAGACAAAAACGTTTGTTTACATATACAGTAAATAATTCTGCCCGCTTCTTGTACATAATGTCACCTGAAAGTGAGAACAGGTGTTTGCACAGCACTGATGTACCTGGTGTCATAAGATTTCTATGTTCCAGATGTGCTAAAGATTCATATGCCCCTTTAGGCTTCAACCACCATTCCAGAGGACATGCATCCATGCTGATGATGGGTTCTGTTTGATAGTGATCCAAAGTAGTGCAGACTGACGTATGTTCACTTTCACCATCTCCGTCAGATGCCACCAGCAGAAGGTTGATTTTCCTTTTTGTTGTCTTGGGTTCTATAGTTTCCACTAGGGGCGTTAAATTGCGAGTAATTGACTAATTACTAATTTTGCATCAACTATTCAGTTAGTCGATAGGGAGCCTCCCCCTTTGAAGTGTACCAACAGTCCTAGGGCTGTTGCTACACTTCAAAGGCGAAAGCGCCAAATGGAGCCCGGGGTCAGCTAGGGACTCCCCAGCTGATCCTGGGCTCCATGCGGCGCTGCTGCTTTGAAATGCTGCAGGGAGCCAAGTGTCAAGCTCCTCACGGCATTTCAAAGTGGCAGCACCCTGTGGAGTCCAGGATCATCTGGAGAGTCCCTTGGGGAGCCTAGGGACACCCCAGCTGGTCCCAGGCTGCACACGGCATTGCAAAACGGCAGCCCCACGTGAAACTTGGGGTCTGGTCCCAGGCTCCATATGGCGCTGCCCCCCCCCCCCCCCCCCCCCCTGGCTGCCTCTTTCTGATAGAGGCAGCAAGGGGTGGGTGGAAGTGACTAGTTGACTAGCCTGTCATCTATGCAATAAGCATTTTCATATCGGATAGTCGACTAGCTCTTCACATCCCTAGTTTCCACATTAGAATGTTGTTCTTTTTAAGACTTCTGAAGTCATCGCACAAGTTCTGGAAGGTACTTCAGATTCTTAAACCTTGGGTTCAGTGCTGTAGCTACCTTTTAGAAATCTCATATTTCATATGTCATATTGGTACCTTTTTGGGTTTTGTCAAATCTGTACTAAAGAGATCCTACAACAAACAACATGTGCTGGGTCATCATTTGAGAACTGCTATAACATGAAATACATGGCAGAATGCAAGTAGAACACAGAGCAGGGGACTTACTGTTCTTCCCCAAAGAGTTCAATCAAAATTTAATTAGTACGTTATTTTTTTAACAAGTGTCATCAGAAAAGAAGCATGTCCTCTGGCATGGTGGCTGAAGCATAAAGGGGTCTGTGAATGTGTAGCATATTGGCATGTAAATACTTTGCAGTGCCGGTTATAAAAGTACCATGCAAAAACGTGTTCTCACTTTCAAGTGACATTTGTAAATTAGAAGCGAGCAGCATTAACTGTCATAAATGTAAACAAACTTATTTGTCCTAGCGATTAGCTGAATAAGAGGTAGGACTGAGCAGAATGATAGGTTTTAAAATGCAGTTACATAACAAAAAAATCTATATTTGTAAGTTGCACTTTCACATTAGAGATTGCATTATAGTACTCATATGAAATGAATTGAAAATAATAAGAAAATAAAGTGAGCACTACACCCCTTTATAGTAAAATAAAGTGAGCACTATGCTTTTTGTATTCTGTGTTGTTAACTGAAATCAATATATTTGAATATGTAGATAAATCCAAAAGTATTAAATTTCAGTTAGTACTCTATTGTTTAACAGTGCAATTAAAACAGCAATTAATCATTATTTTTAAATCTTATTTTAATTTTTTTAGGTAATTGAGTGATTTAATTGCGATCACAGCAATTAATCATTATTTTTAAATCTTAAAAAAATTAAAATAATCGACAGCCCGTGTAATTTGACAGAAAACTTTTATAAAGCTGTGGCTTAGGGTTTCTGGAAGTAATTTCTCTTTTCCTTCTCACAAAAGTGAGGTTTTACAAGTTCTAATTTTGAAGTACGCCCAGCTTTCACTTCTCTATACTTGTGAAGATTTGGACAGATTCTGTTTACTTTCTGTTCAGTGTGTATTATGAGATCGTTGTGCTGGCTTCTTCTTTGGTGAAAACACAAATAAAATTGATTCTTTGTATAGTCCCCGTAGGACTATGCTACTGGTAGCAGATACTGATACGGTATACCTATGATTATAAGAAACTGCTATAAAAAGACATTGCTATTGAATGTAGCACAGTCCTATAGGTATCAGTTACATACATATAAAGTGTAAGAAACTGCTATTATAATACACTAATACCAGGATCTAGCAAATTCCAGTGTTTGTTATGTTTCAATCTTCTCTCGCAGTACTCCAGTTGATGCTTACTTCTTGTGTCTTGCTTACAACACTGATGTTTGCTTTTTTTGCAGGAGTTTTACACGATTGACTCTCAATTAGCTCCAAAGCACTTGCAACCCTCTCCTAATGTGTTGTTATTCACAATCTTTATAAGTGCAAAGGCAACTGGCAAAGGGGGACCTGGAGGTCTGGGCAAGGGCTGGGACAAACCCCACTGCTGCTACTCCTCTTTCCTGCTCTACCCTTGCCCTGCCTCCTCCCCACACATGTTGGCAGCAGCAGGGAAGCAGAGCAAGGTGGCCCCAACTCTCTTGGCTCCCCTGGTTGCATTGCTCTGCCCTCACCCCCGCATTTTGGGGGATTGTGAGCACTCGTGCCCCCATCTCATCTCAGCCCTGACTCAAAATCATTATCTAAAGCATTAATGAAGATTTTGAACTGAAAGGTGTCTAGAACTGATCCCTGCAGGACACCACTCAGTAAACCCTTCCAACATGACTGTAAACTACTGATGACTACACCCTGGGCACTATTTTCCACATTATTGTAGCTCCATCTAGGTTACATTAGTATAAAAAACTTTAGTAAAGTCAAGATATACTATGTCAACCACTCCCCTCTACCTCCCAGCCACAAGGCTTGTTACCTTGTCTGTTCTAGACACTCGGGATTAGGGAGCAAGAAGGGTGAGGGAGGAGGGAATGATGATGAGTCTTTTTAATACTCCGCATGTGCTGCACACTCCCTGAAACTCTGTGCATCAGATTTTTACAGCATCCTGTATCCTGTCTGTATAGCAGTACAGATAGAGAGTGTGGGGGTCTAGCAGAGAGAACCAATGAATTAGGACAGTTGTACCTTTAAGAACACAGCCAGGAAGTTGCCATGTGCAACACAGTGCCCAGAGAGGGGTAATAAAACCCTCTCTCTGTGCCCCCATCTCTGCCTTTGCACTTTCAGGAGGTGTCTCATCCCACTGAGGTAACTGTTACCCTCTCTGCCCCTCTCTGTGTGGGGGGCAAAACTCCTATATGGACTGGCAGTGTCTCCCCCCGAGCTAAACCCCAGCTCCTATTCACCCTTCCTGATTTTTCCTCTCCACTCCTCTTCTGCCTCACCCTAAAGTGGCTTGATCCCCCAGGCCAATACATTTCTGCCCTCTGCTCAGACTCTGGCCACCCTTTCCTCTGTTTTGCCCTCTTCACCCTTTTTAACCCCTGTAAAATGTAGACAGCAGAAACTTAGACATAGGAAGGGCAGGAGCTTCAGCAGTGCTACTGAGCATGCTCGGTAATCCTAAATTTTCCCTAAGTAGCATAGTTGTGTTGGGAGCAGCTCTGTACAAACTATCAGCCAGGGGAAGGCAGGAGCAGTGTGCTGCCCAAGCCTCCCTCTCCCAGGGTATGTCTACACTACCACCCTAGTTCGAACCAGGGTGGTTAATGTAGGCAACCGAAGTTGCAAATGAAGCCCGGGATTTGAATTTCCCCGGCTTCATTTGCATCTTGCCCGGCGCCGCCATTTTTAAAGCCCCGCTAGTTCGGACTCCGTGCCCGCTGCTACACGCGGCACGGAGTAGGTTAGGTAGTTCGGATTAGGCTTCCTATTCCGAACTACTGTTACTCCTCTTGCACATTCATGAAGGAGACAGCCAGCACATTGGGGTTGCGCTCAGGGAGCGTGAGCGAGGTTGTGTTAGAGTGGCTAGTGGCACTTCATAGGGAGCATGGCTGTGCAGGGCTGAAATCCACATCTCAGTCTCCTCTGCACATGTGAAAAGTGAGCACTGGGAAGGTGCATGCTTCAGCCATTTAGAAGGTGTCATTTTCAGTTCTGAGCACGTTCCTTCCCCACCTCCCAGTGTCCCCATCCTCAGGTTCCCTATCTGTGTTCCATGGGCAACATGCCTTACACTTCTACCCCCTGTGTGTTCCACACCTTATAGCTCTGCTCTGGCTCTCACAGGCACAGAAGAGTCCCGTGTGCTGTACAGGATCAGGGTGGATGGAACCTCTTTGTCTGTCAGTCTTTCCTGTAGATATAGAAAAAGGCTAAAGAATCAGGAACCCTTCCAGAGCTCTGTCTTGCAAACCAGTTTTTCTTCTATGAAAGTTGTGAGATGAAAGAGCTTCCTCGGAGCTGCCATGCAAAGCAGCATATTGAGCAGCAGGCAGCTGGGGGGTGCTCAGTATCCAGAAAGCCGTGGCAGTTTCTCTGCCTTTCCTAGCACATCTACAGGAAAAGCCCTGAAGGTATGGGTGTGCTTGAAAGTGCAGAGAGCCCTTTTGTTTGATTTGCAAAATGTTAAAAGTCTCAGTGTCTCCTAAGATCTCATTAAAAGCTCCCAAGAATTCCCCTGCATTTTCATCTGTACTCTGCTGCCAGTTCCAGTGTCTGCCTTGCAGGAGCAATTGTGATAGTGTGACTATTAACTTGGAGCAGAATAGCTGATTGGAAAAAACTCCCCCAGCACCACCTTGTTCTTTAGAGACCAGAGAGAAAAGCTTAAACAGGAGCAGAAGACCATCACTCACCAAAATTGAAGCCCATTTGGGTGGCAGATCAGATGAAGCTGAGATACTCTACCAATTACGGTGACTGCTTTGGCCTCTCTGAAGGAGGAGTAGCACACTTGAGACTATTCTAAAATGCTGTTTTCTTTTTATAGTGTCTCTGATCAGTGCCCTATGCAATAAGCACAGTAATATATGAGGAGGGTGCCACGTCAGGTGGTGACAGTTCCCATTGCTCTGTACATTCTAATGGTCTGCAGTTTCTCTAGTCAAGTACCTAGTGATTGACCTCTTGGTACTGGCGGGTTTAGTGCTCTTGCAGTTAGCTTTCATACATCTTCCGTAAGTCTAATGTGTCAGGAAACTCCTCCTGGAATCCCAGGTTTATATACCTAATGTACCCGAGCAAGAGTATTTTTTTCTCTGACCAAACAATTAGTCTGTGTTACAATCAGCAGAGTTTAGGAAGAGTTTAATCTGCTTTTTGGTCACTACATTATTAATCAATGATCGTTGTAAAAGGACTTGCTATGCAGCATTAGAGGCTGAAAAACTAAGAACACTAGAAAAGGTCAAACTAGTGAATGGCTGTTGGTTTTATCTTGTAGATTTCCCCAGTAAGAATGATGGAGAGGTCAATTCACAGCGCAAAACACATTTTTGTAGAAAACTTATATCGAAGGTATAGTACATGGTTTGCTACTTTAGCTTTTTGTTTGAATTATAGAATTTTTAAAATAAACTTATCTTAGTTTCCTGTGGTAATTTGTATTTCAGTAATTTATGAAACCTGACGGCAGTGTATTAGAGAGCTAGTAGGTGCTTACTCAGTCAATGCTGCCATTGTTTTTAAGTATTACAGGTAAGTTAAAACACAAAACTGTCGGATTGTTCTCTGTAAACATGACAATCTTTAGGAGCCTTCTGGATGAACTACATTGTGCATTTAAGATATTCTCTATCATTTCTCCAGCAGATTATTTTTTATACACACAGGCATGCCCACACAATCTTCTCTGGGCTGAATGAAACAGCTGTTTAGTAGTAGTCAGAAATATACACTCCAGTGAAGGCAGGACATAAAGAATAATACTGTAGACAGTTGGATCAGGGAAATTAGGTAGATACAATGCACATTAATTACACAAGCTAGATTTGGTGAGATTCTTGTTTACATTCTCATAGAGTGCTAAAGGACAAATTTCAGGGTTTCATTTTTGTAACTCATCCATAATTTGGCATATCCAAGAACATTCCCTTAAAACCATGCTAAGTCATTGGGTGAGTGAAGAGTGGTACTGCTGATTTACAAATACTTCCTGTAGCCTGCTTCCCCCTTCCCATGCTAAGTCATTGGGTGAGTGAAGAGTGGTACTGTTGATTTACAAATACTTCCTGTAGCCTCCTTCCCCCCTTAGAATACGATTCATGTAATGACCAGGCCCAACCCTGGTTAGCTTGTCAGAATCGATAAAATCACAGCCTGAGACAGTGCAGCTGGAGGTAGTACCAGTTATTAATGCACTCAGTATTGTTTTTCCTTTACAATTCTGGCTTTTTCATGTATTGAAAACAATCTGTAATGGGTTATAGTTTGTAAAATCTCTGACTGGTTATAGGAAAAATGTTTCTTCCCCAAATATGTGGGGAAAGCAGCTGCTTGCCAGTAGATCCACAAGATGGCATTCATGCTACACAAGCTCTTCAATTGTGTTTATTACTGAGTGACTATGAATGTTTCCATAAGCGATAAGCTAAGATGTAAGGTCTATGAAAAACAGAAAATAGTAAGAGTCACTGTTTATGACAGTCTATATACAGAAGACTATACTTGGTTCTTTTTGCTTTCTTTTAAGCTATTGAATTGTTTTTTCATATTGGACTAAATGCTTGTGTCATAGGGACTGAAATTCTTGCCTCCTGAGGCTAAGTATAATGTGCAATGACTTTATTTCTTGACTTTGTAACATTTTCTAAAGGCAGCTATGGCTCTCGGCATTTCTGTCGTTGTATCTTTTTGGTGTTGGGGACCAGGTATTTGCTTTGTGCTTCATTACATCAAACTGCAAAATTGGTTGCAAATTAATCAAACAAGAATCAGCGTCTGTGAATGGATATTGTGTTTGGGAAATGAACTCATAGAATATGGAAAAGGAGATGTGACAGGTGAAGTAGAGGGACAAAAAGTGATTGGTCTTATAATTAACAGATGTGGTTTGACTGTTAATAAATGACATTATATGTCCATTAGGACCTGTCTACTTTGGATCCCATAAAATGGGGTGTTGTCAGGTAAGGATTTACTGTCGTGATGTTTTGACAGGTCTCTGGCTCTGTTTATGATGATAACCAGAGGGCTGCTTGCTTGTGTGCTCAGTGACATGTTCTGGGTTAACTAACTGCACAAGTTAACAGAGCAGACTTCAAGAGAGCCCCCCAAAGACCATAAATCAGATAAGGATTGAAGGTGCCCGGCCAGGTTTATTGCTTAGCAAAGTACATTAAGGGCTCATCTAGACTACACAGAAGATTCGAAAGAGGATATGCAAATTCCACGAGAATTTGCATATCTTCTTCTGATCTCACTTTTGAAAGCAGAGCTTTCAAAAAGGGAGGGGTTTGCTGAACCCCCTCCCACCTGCCTGTCTGCTTTCGAAAGTGAGGTCGGAAGAAGATATGCAAATTCTCTGGGTTTTTCGAATATTCCATGTAGTCTAGATGAGCCCTAATAGTGGTCAATAAACGCTATCAAATTACTACATTTATGCACCCCTAACAATAAACTTAGCTCAATCAGGTGGGAAACTCCCACTGTCCTCCAGCTGGCCAAAAACTTTCCCCTAAGACACCCACTTTATATACAGGTACATACAAGTTACACATCACTCCTGATGTGTCAGGTTGGCACCCTCTGACATTGCTTAGATACCACCCATCACTCTGTACCTTGCAAGCTAATTGAATCATTTTTATTCATCATGCTGTTATTTTAGACCCTTTCCTGAATTTAAGTCTGTATCTGTGGGGAGTGTGGGTACCAAGGTCTTTTTTAATGAGTGGGTGTTGCCATGTGCTTTCAAGTTATGCCCCGTACCAATTATTGTTTTACAGTCGTTATCTAGCACCAATTATTGTTTTACACCTGGGCCTATTACCAATTAGTGTTTTGCTCTTTTAGCCCTGTTCATGCTAAGTTCTGTGAGCAGGAGCCTGCCTTTTGCTTACAGCTTAATTTTGCTTTGTTAGCCAAGTTTTGTCCATTGTTAGCTAGGCCTCAGGCCTCAAACTAGGTGCTACATGGGCTTTTGTTTTAGGCCCTCATATTACTACATGGGGCATGTTGTAATTGCAGACAATATTATAACTTAGTGCACATGTGATTCTGACTAAAAAGTTTTTGTACTAACATAGCTAGTATAACTAGAATTCAACTCTCTGATGCATCAGGATGTGTATTTCTGTTTTCTTGTAAAACTATAGAATTGTAGGGCTGCCTTTAAGAAGTTATTTAGTCCTTCCCCATCTCACTGAGGCAAGATTATAAAACACTTCAAGCTTGAAGCATGAAACCAAAGCCCTGATGATTTTAAACCATCTGAGATGTGCAGTAGTTGCACTGAAATTGCTACCACAAAATAGTTTTCCTACAAATATCAAGAAAATAAAGCTGTGCATTAACCTGGCATAGGTATATTACTCAACAAGTTTGCATGGCAGTCTTATTTTTTATGAAGAGATGTTCAGAGGCATTAGTGGCAGTTAGAGACACAACTGCCATCATTACTAGGGATGTCATAGTGTAGTTAATTAACTGATAAGGAAAAGCTTGTAGGTTAATGTTACAGATTACACACATTTCCTCCCCATCTCCCCGCCAGTAAATTTTTTAGCAGGCTGGCCAGCAGCCCAGCTTAGTCCTGGCTTGTGACAGATCCAGTTTAAAGTGTATTAGGAGCCGGGCAGACAGGCAACCCAGCTCATTGCTGGCTCATGCTAGGTCCAGGACTTACTCCCGCTGCAGCTCTGCATTTAAAGTGTATTAGGAGCTAGGTGGGCAGGTAGCCTGGCTCGTGCTGGGTCTGGGAGCTCGACCCCCCCTCCCCCCGACAGGGACTGCTGCCATCCCACACTGCTGCCTCTGTATCAGAGGCAGCAGCACAGGGCAACAGGCAGCCAGTCCACAAAGGGAGCTAGTTTTTAAATTGACACTCCTTGTGGACTAGTTCCTGCCTGGCACCCCATGCTGCTGCCTCTGTATCAACTCTGAATACTCAACTATTCAGTTAACCGATATTTAACATCCCTAATGATTACCTTGAAAATCTTCCTCATACCAAATAGGTATTGTTACTGTTACAATTCTAAGACATGGGGAATATTAATACTATTAATATTAATGTTATAGGCATTCTCTATTTACATGTGTGACACAGAGACCTCTTGGCAAAGAGTGCCCTGTTCTTAATAAACCTCAGACCTGACAAACTCACCCTACACATATTTTGCAAGATATTTATCCAAAAGGGATATCCTATGGGGTGTCTACAGAAAGCTTATAACTCATCAAGATTAAATTATTGAGAGGTGCATGTATGGGCATTATTTAAAAACCTGAAGTGTTTGCATTGAAAATATGCTTTGTGGACCTGGAGTAGAAACTAATCACCCAGTATATCCCAGGCCTCTGAAAAATGCTGTTGACATTAATTACCACCTATTTGTCTCATCAAATTACCTACTATGCAAACTGAGCCTGGGCATTTTGCCACTGTTTCCAGTGTGCTCAGATTGACCATGTATAAACGACTACCCATGGTACAAGGCAGTGGAGAACCAGGTGAACCTTTTTGAATTAAAAGCCCTATGACTTGGCTTTCTAGTATGATTATATGGTTTCCTTCATTCCCCTGTGCTTGGCTGAGGTTATTTTTCACCTCTCAGACTGCACAGAAAAAAATGCAATGGAAATGTAGACCCCTCTTAAATGTAGACCTCCTCTTAAAATAAGGAATAAGGGATCTTTCGGCAAAGCTCCGAGCCGGAAAAAAGCAGCAGCCATGTTTATGCAAATGAAGCAGGGGGATTTAAATCCCCGCTTCATTTGCAATTGCGATGTGTCTAATTTGCATCCCTTTTCCGTAAAAGGGATGCAGTCTAGACAGCCCAAGAGAAAATGGGGATGGCCCATCCAGGCAAGAAGGAGTTGTCACTCCTCCCTAATCAATTGGCATGGGGATGCAAATCTTTATTGGCCAGTCTTGCTCCCTCCTAAAACTATCCATGGAAATCAGCTGCACTATCAAACAATCCAATAGAGCTTCACTTTGGCTGTGAATAGAAACAAAAGACTATTTTCAGAATAGAGAAGTAAGTGACAAGTCGACTAGCAAATGCTTATCAGGTAGTTGAGTAGGAACTTGACTAGTTGCTCCTCCCCCCCCTGCTGCCTCTGTCAGAAAGAAGCAGCAAGGGGGTGAACACAAGACAGTGCTTAAAAGCCAGTTCTCCCCAGCACCATCTCCACAGGTGAGGCAGAGGGCAGCAGGGAAATGGTGTGAGTGGGGATTGAAACAGTCCTGCTTGCGCAGTCCGACTGCTGCTCCTCCCCCTTTGAAATGTATTAGAGCCACCTGCGGTTCTTGTACATTTCAAAGGAAGAGGCACAGAGAGCGGACTTCTTTG